TCTTTCCCTTTCTTATGCTTTGCAGCAAAAAGCTGCTCTGGTTGAAGGCAGTCTGACCACAGAGTCTCTGCTCTTGCAGCATGGGTCTCTCACTTGCTGAAGGTGGGCTGCGTTTATCACAGAACTTCATCTGATAAATAAACTTGCATGGAATGGAGCTGCTCCAGTGGAAGAAGCTGGAGATGAACATACATCCCATGCACATTTGTTTGTGCAAGAGTGGCTGGACAGGAGCACTCTCACAAGTATTGAGGAAACTTCATGTTGTAGAGGGCAAAATTAGACTGCTTTCAGTGAGTGCAGGTTCGTGCTGGCTTGGTGGGCTGTGCTTATGTGTGTAACTGAATTTCACTTTGTTCCATGTGCTCTGAAGTCTGAAAGCTAGGCATATTTTCCGTGTGTTAAACAGTAAGAGGGTATGTTCCTCTCCTAGTGAGCTTGTATTTGAGATAAGCTCTCTTTTGTCAGTATGAATGCAGCTGCTTGAGAGGAGTTTCCTTTCTTTGAGTGATGCTATGTACACTGTCTTTTTGTCTTTTTAAAATCTTTTTTTAGCTTTGAACTTGGCATAGTTTTTCTGGCAAAGATCTTTTGAACTTCAGATAGCTTAAGCTTAATATGATGAATGTATGGAATAAGATTTTGGAGTTGTTTTCTAGTTCCTGTAAACAGTCTTGAAATGTTTATATATACAAAATTTTTACTTTGTGATATGTAGAGCACAGCAAAAATTTGGCTTTTGACTCAGATTTCCCAGCATCTAAAATATAGTGAGATAAAATTTATCCTGGAAATATTGGTCAGCTGCAGAATTTACCATTTATAATTTACTTTATAGGACCTGTTTTTTCTGCTTAACATGGTCATGTCACAAGCCTCAACACTTACACTCTCCATTGCCAGGTTTTGTTAGTGCATGTTTGTGGATGACTACTTCGCTAGGCTATTTCTATTGATTACCGGATAGCTTGTTCTCAGTTAAGTAGAACACACTGTACAATAATTAATTAACTCTGACCTTATTTTTCTGTCTGTTGGGATTGTGAGCTGTAGTTCAGTGTCTGCATTAACAGTTGAACGCAAAAAATTCTGGCATAATGGTTTCTCTGTAATATTGACATTTAGTACTGGAAACGTGCAAAACGTTTGATGCCGATGTAGTCATGTAGCCTACGAAATGTGAACTCTGAAACTGAATAATGAGAATAATAATTGCAGACTAGGACGTGTTTTGGATTTCTTTTTTCTGCCTGTTAGGTACAATACACAACAGGAACTCTTGCACAAATAGGAATTTCTCAAAGCTTATTCAAAAACCTGAAGATAATTTATACTGTATATATGTTAAAAATGAAAATGCTTCTTCTCTATAATGACATGATTCCAAAAACTGCAGTCAGATGAGGTTGTGTAGGACAAGTGCATTAGGAGGTAGGAGACATGATTTGCCTGTTCCTTTGGCAGACCCCAAAACTGCTTGTGGTAGATGAGTGCAATGATGGTGTCTGAGGACATTAATGGAAAAGATAATTCTCAGTTAGCCCTGTTTGGGCTGTGTATTTGGTGTGTTTCTAATTTCTAAGCTACTGGCCTTGGCTGGAGGCTGAATGTTGGTAATTTACATGAACCATTGCTTATGGTTGCTGGTAGTAGTGCAAACTGCTGGGGAGTCAGAAATTTCAGGAAGTGCGTGTAGCTGGAAGAGAGGCCTCTGTGTTTAAGCAGTTTTCTGCCTGCAATGGAGATGCAAGCAAAGCGGAGCATTTAGAGCATCCAGTACCGTTGGGCATGTCCATATTAGCACTGTTACACTGTGACAAGGTGTTTTAAAGGATAAGAGTTTCTTCAAAGCATGCTAATCCCAGAAATAAATGATTCAGTCAGGCATCTGCCTTACAGAGTAAGTGCCACATTAATAAGAAGAAATAGGAGGATAATAAGCATTCAGAGAACCCACAGTGGAGTAAGAGTATGGGAGCTGTTCAGACTTCAAGAAAGCTGCACATTTGTCCAGACCCCATTTGAAACACTGAAAAGTTCACTACCAAATGTCTAACACTGGAAAAATCTCTCCTGACTTTGTTAGAACAGAATTGACCTTGTAACTTGATGTCTTGCAAAGGAAAGCAGGAAACCTTCGTGTTCTGGATGCGCTACCATGTAAAGGCAGGAGGTTGAAAATAATGTTTTTAAGGGTCAGAGCAGCACTGTAGCGCATTGGTGCTGCCACACGGCTGTCCTGACAGGCTTCCCTGGGACCTGGTACTGCTGGACCATTGCTTTGCAATCCGTCGAAAGGCAGCACAGCAGACTGCCAACTATAACACCATCTGTCTGCAAGAAAGAGCCAGGAAAGCAAACCTTAAAATAAAACAGAAAAATCTGAAATTGTGACTGCTGAATTTCCTAGGTAGGACCTTTGACTCTCAGAAACGTTGTCAGTATTCACGCATCTATCTACATATTTATAAATATCTGCACATTGACAAATTTCAATCCACTGAGAGAGGTATCTGGGAAATTCAGGAGAAGGAGGAAAAGGCAAGTCAAGTCTGAAATAATCACACAGGCTGATTTTTGTGTAGTTATGTGATGACACTCTTTGTACACTTAAAGCAGTTCTCAGGGTCATGCTCTGCAATAGCTGAGGGGTGATGAGCCTCCAGTGAGAGGATGCCACTGAGGTGGCTTAGGGCAGAAGAGTAGGCAATGGGAAATGACTGACTTGCAGACAAATCCAAGCTGAGATACAAGCTCTTTATAATGGTGTTTACAAGTGGAAACTTGGACCAGTGTGTTAAAGGTGGGAAAGTCTTCACACTGAAAGCAGGAATAAATCATCAAACAAACTCTTTTTGAAAGTACCTGCTGCTTTCTACTTCTGGATTGTCTTTGTTTTGTACTAGTAAAGCAGTGCTACAGTTAAGAGTATCAAAAGAGGTCTGGGATGCATGCAGGTTGACTTGGAGCATGAAAATACGGGATACACGTGGGCAAACTGAGACAAAACATAGGTGAACATATTGCTGACAGCAGTCACAGCCCAGTTTCAAAATGAGGGCTGAAAAGAATGAACTGTACAAGACAAAAGCTTGCAAATGCTTGTGTGAAGTTGAAATCAGTAAAACTACTGATATGAGCAGGTCTTTGCTGGAGCAAAAAGAGAAAAGTTGCAGCATAGGTCTGAAGAAGAAAGATGGGTCAGTTGCAGAGCAGGAATAAAAATATCAAAAGGAGAAGTGAGCTGACAGAAATGTACAAGGGAAATACATCTATGTTTGTCTGTGCCTTTTGTTTGTCTTCTCCCCAGCATAAAGCAGCTTGACAGGTATGGCCAGCTGATCCTTGCAAACTCCACTGCGGCAGACACAGGTGAATATAGCTGTTGGCTTCAGCTGTGCAACGGCAGCAAATGCAGGAAGGATGAGACTAAAACAGGTTCAACATACATTTTTTTCACAGGTAATTAACTCACTGGGGGATTATTAATGGAGATATATTGGATAGTAAGACAGGAATAAAGCTAGATCAGCAATCTCACTGTCAAGACTTCTCTTCCATAATTTTAATCTTTTTTAGTGGATATTAAGGAAGACAGTGCTGGTGAGCAGCAAACTACTTTCTTAGTGTGATCTACGAGTCCATTTTCCGTATGGATTATGTTAAATGTGTACCCAAAATAATGCATAATTCTGTGGAAAGCAAATAGCTTTGAAAATAATAACACAGGTTCTGAGGATGTTCTACAAAATGAATTAAAAAATGTTAAATTTTTGAAATGTGCCTTGATAAAATAAATCTTTCCAGAATATTCATTTTGTCATGGCATTCAGACGGCCATGTGGACTCTCTTCCCTACCATTCCCTCCTTGCTTCCAGTTACCTGCACTGACTTAAAAATCTTGACCTCATTGATCTTGGTAAAGTGGCAGTTTCTCCCAAGAGTCTGTATAGCGTGTTGAGAGGCAAAGTACTCTTTAAGTACATGTGTTGTCCCACAGAGCTTGAGGCTGACTCTAGCCTTAACACTGCATGGGCAAGATCATTCTAGGTAACCGTGGACAGTTTAATGCTACTTGGTACAACAGAGCTGAAATCAAATGGTTCATTTGTTCTTCTCATGGAAAACATTCTGAATGGTAAAACAACCTTTCTGTCTCATTAGAGATAAAGTGTTCTTAGCTAGCAAATATTTCAGTACAAAACGCTAAGATAGGATTGTTTGCGTTATGTTTTGGAGCTAAATTAAGCCATGAGACTGTGCAGAAGCCGTTTATCGGAAGTGCGGAATGTTCTGAGGGCACATTCCTTTAGAAAGGCTGAAATAAACTTCTCCGTCCAGTTAGTAAGTAAATGCTGGTGCTAGAAAGAGGAATTTCAGCTTTGTATTTCTAAGAAGCATGCCAAATATGGAAATACTCTTTAACTGTCATTCTAAAAGCACTAAATAATTCAGCTACTTAGGGCAGTAAATCAAACGGTTTGCCTAAAATTGCATCTATGAAAAGGCTGTAGCTCCAAAGAATGTATCTTTCTAGTAGTGTTCATCTTACTGGTGGTGGTTGGTTTTATTATGTGTGTTACCCTTTAAAAGTGGTCAACTAAACACAATTAGGTCCAGATGAGTATTCAGAAGCTTACTAAAATTAATTCCAAAGATTTTCTTAAGATTTAAAAAAAATCTGATTACAATAAAGAATGCTTTGGTTTTCTTTTCGATGTAATGTTTTCAGTGCAAGCTATCTACACTGCTTAGACATACACAAGTCTATGGAGCCAGATGAGATCCACCCCAGGGTCCTGAGGGAGCTGGCAGAAGTGCTTGCCAAGCCACTTTCCATCATTTACCAACAGTCCTGGCTGACTGGGGAGGTCCCAGTCAACTGGAGGCTTGAAAATGTGACACCCATCTACAAGAAGGGCTGGAAGGAAGACCCGGGGAACTACAGACCTGTCAGTCTGACCTGGGTGCCAGGGAAGGTGATGGAACAAATCATCCTGAGTGCCATCACACATCACATGCAGGACAACCAAGCGATCAG